GGGGGCGGCCTCCGTCGTGCCTCCTAGCAAACAGCCTCGGGGCTCTTCGGTACTACATAGACTATTAAGATAGATCGATCGTAGTTGTCTACGCGAGCTTCCTCAATACAGAGTCTTGGGCATCCATGAACCGACTTCGGGATACACGGAAAGCGCACATACGAATAATGCAGATCTCAGGACAGTGCTCAGGATCGAATATCTACCCCATCGGCCCGCTACAAATAACCGTGTCCACTGAGTTTTCTTGATTGTATGATATTTATCATCACCTTTGTCGTTTCTTATAACAATTAATCACTACTTCTTGGCAAACGCAGAAGTTGGTATTGCTATACAAACGATCATGTTAATAACGCTGGGTCTTGCCATGCGATTCGCCACGTCTTTTGATACACTTGACTGAACCCGCCCATAGGATACATAGACATCTCGGCTCCTCCTCCACTTGGATGGCAGAAGGCCATTACAGGACATGTGGAGTATGCTACACACTCACAATAGTGTGGCAAGGCAAGTTGAGTTGCTGCTATTTACTGGCTGAACGGACGGCCGTGATGGGAGCTAACCCGGTACAAGAAGCCATCAATCGCCCTCCACCGGCCGGCCGGACACTGGTCGCGTGACAGTTGATCAAGGCAGCCGTGTAGGACTCGGTTTGGTGTCTGCATCCGCAACACACTCTGATCAAGCGTGCAATCTGCTTTTGCTAACCAAATGGGTAGACATCTCGTAACTAGAATTGGCTAGCTCTTGCTCTTAAGAACCGTTATGTCAAAGGCCAACCTTCTCGTCCCTGCGGGCGGAGACTGTCCTGTCAAACTGGGCGCTAGCCGCCCCGAGCTGGTTTCAATTTGCACGATGCCCCTGGCCCACACCACCAGGGGCTTGGCTTCTACCAAAGGGCACGGAACTTGCAATTAGCGCTGCCGACTAGAGGTAAGGTAGCCCAAGCAACTCTGGCACCGACGAATACCATCTGAATCACCTTGGTATCGTAGGTGATACTAGACAAGAAGTCCCCAAGACAGGCCAGTCGCGCCAAGGCCAGAGGGAAATGCGAGGGCATGATCCAAGGGCTGCAACTCTAGGTTATGCTGAATGGAAAAGGGAAGAACAAGGGGGAAGATGGATAGCGAAATGCAGAATTAGGTGTCACTCGGCCGGGATGGGAGAGCTTGATTGAAGCTTAAGAGACAACCAAGCCCGGGTCTCGGGCGCCCAGCGAGCTTGGGCAGGCGAGCAGAATAGTAAGTGGCCACAATTTCCTGCTTGACGGGCATGAGAGCCATCAATTGGGCCTCTTCCGCAATGACGTGCAGAGCGCTGGGCAGTACCCGATAGCAAGTACCGGTAGTATTGGTGTGTCGCTGTGGGGTGACATCCCTTGTTGTTGCTCCCGGCTTCCGATCTCTTGGCAGCAGGAAGCCCCTCCCTCCTTCTATTTTGATAGGCAATTGACTTGACTCGTCCCACCTCTTCACTGCGGCAGCAGAGAGAGGGGCTAAGGAATCGTGCGGTTTTGGCCCGTCTTACACAAGGAGACAGGCTGGAGCTTCTGCCAGTAGCTGCTACAGTAGGAGTTGTCATCTACCGCCCTTGTATCGCCCCGTCCGAGGGTTGACAGAGCCCAATCGGCGGGCCGTTGATTTTATTACAGGCGCACATTTGACGGGGCTGTCGGTCCCTGGCTGAACACTTGGCGATGGATGCGACAACTAATTGCTTCCTGACCCCATGACCCTCCTCTCGGTGTGGCCTCGCACTTGCGCCCTCTCCCTCTCTGGACATCGCGAGGGCTGCTCCAATCAATCTCTTGCCGCGGTCACGTAGATTGTTTCCAGTCCGTAGCACAGAGAGACGCACAGCCAGGCAGACAGATGGGCAAACTGTGTAGGAGATGTGCATGCATACACCAAACCGTGCCCTAAAGTTTGGTCGGTCAGGATGTGCCACGAAAGTGCGTTGATGACTCCAGAGTGGCATATTTCTGTAGCTTGCTTCCTAACCTAGCAGTTATCGTACTCGGTAGATCAGGCCATTCTCTATGTTGGCCACCTCTTGATGCGGGCATCGGATCGGCTTCTGCCTGATACCCTACCCAACCCTTCCCTCACAATCGGCAGAACCAGGCCTGCAATAACCACTTGCTCCCTGGGCCTTATCTCGGCAGTTGGCGAGGCCGCAGAGCCCCAGTAGATTACCTCAGTTGCTGCTCCGATCGTTCTCACCTCGCAACCCGTACTCTCATCTGCTGCTCTTCTATACTGCATCCCTCGCCCCAGACCTCCGCCGGTTCTTTTGTCTTGCCCACCATTCCTTGCAAATAATACTTGCACCGGGCGTCTCCCTAGGGTCCGAGGGAAGCGAGTTGTGGAAGGGGAGCACACGGCTAGCATTCCGTGCATGATTGCCCTGCCTTAGTTCTCCATTTCCCTGCCCACCAGCCTGTCTGCTCTGGCCTAGCAGCAGCAAGCACCGCCTATTTCACATACATCTACCAGTAAATTCCAGATCCAGACTCCTACATCTGCTCCGTTCTCCCCTCCACCTGTCCATCTTGCCTGTCTTTCACTTTGTCCTCGCTTTTCTGTCAGACTGGGCTCAGTTTCCAGGCGACCTTGAACGACCCCGACTGCAGATTTTGCCTCGACTACGTCTTTTCGCTCTGCAGTGTTTTGATTTCATTCTTGGCATCTTCAATTTCGTAATTCTTACCTTCCTACCTACCTACTTCTTGGTCAGATAAGCCTGTACATGCTGCTTTCCCTTTGGACAACATCGGCATAGTATATTCATTCAGTACACTCGATTTATTCATCAACCAAAGATCCAACCATTCATTTCCATCCGGCCTAAGCGATCTCGAGAGGGTCCCATTGGCGGGTAAGATCGAGACTAGTCGTGGATCTCGTTCATTCAAATGAGTGTGTGATTCACGGACGATTTTAATTCTTCGCATTGTCACAACCTTACCCAGCACGGCCAGGGTCCCGCTCCATCTGCCTGGTAAGTTCGTTTCCAATCCTGCTCCTACTCCTACTCCTGCTCCCGCAACCCAGAGTCCTCAGTGTTGTGGACGCAGTTTGCCCCCAATCTATTCATCCATCTCAGCTTATCAGGTGCCGCTCACGGCCGCTGCTGGATCTCCGAATTTGACTAACATTTGATTGTCTTGCGACCTTCATTTTAGACTCTATGCAAGGCGAGCCAAATCTGCCCGAGATAACCACTTAACCCCAGCACGCAGCATCCCGTCGACAGGCCGCCCGCTTAGCCCTAAGCATTTTAGGTTGGTTGATACTACAACTTACCTTAGGTACACAACGCTATCGAGCTGCTTACTGCTGCTTGAAACTTTGTGGCTTCGACGCCCGGGGATCTGTCTAGCTGAGTGACTGATTCACCAGCGACACATCTGCCTATATATTCACTCGCCGACTGCTCAGATCTCCGTCTTCACATTTTTTCTTTCTGTCCTCGATTTGGCAGCCCGATTTATTGTTTGCCTGCCCACTTGAAGGTATCTGATAAATCTCTGCATAGGCAGATCACACACGCCAGCACCACCCTCACACATCACTCAATTTGGTGCCGACCTTCGCATATGCGCAGTGCACCCACTTACCACACGCGCATACACTCAAAAGTTCAGCTCGCATTCGGCCTTGTTCCTCAAAGGGGATTTTTTCTCGGCCAACCCGTTGATCGATCTTCTGCCTCCCTCCAACCAGAGAGCCGGGGCGCGAACTAACATCAGCACAACGCTCAGGACTGCTGCCAACAGCAATCCAATCTAGTCGGCTCTGGGGTTCTATCTGACCACGGCCACCCCTCACTCATCACATTTCCACCTGTCTAGTCATGACGACGGCGGTGAGTCCAGTCTCATCTTTCGTTTCTTTTTCTTTCGGTCTTGTTCTGCAGTCGCCCGCATATCATTCTCATATGTCATTTTCTTTTCTTCTTCCACAGCCCTCTTTATTGGAGGAGACCTTGTTCATGCCGCTAACTTCACTGCCCATCCCCCACCCAAGCCTGTTTTTTTCTTATTAGCGAATACGCTTGTCCCTTTCCATGCTTCCATGCCTTACATTACTGCACTTTGGCTTGGTCCGATACACTCGAGTCCTGCGTTTCTGCCTTTTCAGCTTCTTCAGCCGCTCATCCCTCAATCTGAGAATCTCCGGCTCCGTCGAAATGCAAGGTCAATCGCAAGTGAGGAAAAAGTGACCGCTCGTTGGCATTGCTGGTGCTGAACACACAAGGGTCAGTGGTGGTTCAGTGAATCATCGCCGCGCCCTGTTCCCCCCTCCCTTTCATCGCCCTCACTCGGACTTTTTTTTAGGGTGTCGCCAGACTGGTACCCAACAAGGAAACAGTCGGCCAGCCTACCAGCCCTAAGGCAAACCGCCTTAGTGTAAACGCGCGGAGACCGGCCGGCTGTGCTGATTCGCCTGGGGGCGGGGTCCTCGGGCACTCCTCACTCCTTCCAACTGCACTGCAACTCTGCTGCTCCAGGGCTGGCCCAGTGCCGGTACAGCGCCGGTACAGCGTGCCCGTTGCACTTGACACCTTCCCTACCGGCCCAGCACCTAACAGTTTTGCCCGCCCACCCTGCCTGCTTCTGGCATCCTTGGCTGGGCCCGCCTCGTTTAGGCCTGTGGCAGGCCGAGACCCAGGACAAGTGTCTCTCCCGTCTCTAGAAGACCCCATGTCGAATCCTTGCCTTGCTTCTTTTTTCAACTGTGGCCCGGCCTACCCAACTTTGCCTAGCCACTAGATTGCCCTGGCTGGCTCCCTGGATCGCATTCCTTCTTAGTTCACCATCACCAACCAGCGTCGGGATCATCCTCGTCATCATCAACACTCTTCCCATCCTTATTTCCTTCACATGATAATTTTCTTTTCCTTTTGCATGATTTGTTCCTTGCACGTCGACTGTCACTAACGATTTCTGTTTTCTTCCTTTGCCTCAGGCGCCGCATTGGTCCTACACAATGCCGCCCGGCTCTTCCAACGACAAGCCGCAGCCGAAGAGCTCTGGCTTCGCTAGCTCCAACAATCTCTACCCAACTAAGAGTATCTGGAATACCACGACATCTTTTCCCAACACCCACGCTCGCGGGCCTTCTCTGGGCTCAAAAGGTACGTCCACGATTCCTTGCGATACGTCGCCTCTTCTATGTGCGCAGTGCTGACGCCTCACAAACTTTCCAGACCCTGCCGACAACGCTTCCGGCCCCAACGCCTTCCATGCAAATTCTGAATCCCAGAACGTCTGGGGCACGAGTCCTTGGAACAACGAAGTCCCATCACGACCGAGCAGTACCTCACCCAACAGAACACGAGACAATGGAATCCCCAAGACTGCGGGCTTTGGTGCCGGCACCGATGCGCATGCCCCAGTCAACTTAATCAATGGCTTCAATGGTGTGAACGGGGGCGGTCTGTACGGCGGCCCTCCTTTCACTATGCAGAAGCGCTCTCCCCACGAACCGTCATTCTTCGACTCCGTGGGCGCCTTTCCGCCGTCTAGAGATGGTAGTGCACCTCCCACCCGCCAGGAGCAGGGCTCTCCCAACCTCCAAGAGTTCCTTAATGGCGGGCGTATTAGTGCCCATGGTCATGCGCACAGCAATTCCATCCCGTCCCAACGTCAAGGACCTGGCGGCAGCATCTCGCTACCTCACCAGACGGTCAATAACCGAGCCTTTAACATGAACAAGCAGGTCGACGAGGATATGTCAATCGGGTACAATCGTCGTGTGCCTGTCGACCACTCTGCTTCCGGCACGCCGACATTCGACCCTTCTTCGCAGCCTTTCCAGTCCAACCATGGTTCGCAAGCTTTTGGTGATGCCAATGCGGCAAGGTTCAGTACAGGCTCAGATCCCCAGCTAGATCCTATGATCAATCAGTTCTCGGCCCTGAAGCGCCCCTCTGTAGGAAGGGTATCCCCCGCACCCTCCTATCGACTCGAAGTCAGCAACAGCCCCCGAGGCTATGCGCAGTCGCCGGATCTCTGGAACACCCGACCATCCTCTCGAGACCCAAGAACTACCGATGCCGATCGTCGCACGCCTTCTCAACAGGTCCCCCAAGCCTTCGCTGGCCCATTCTTTCCGGGACAATTCGCCTACCCACAGTTCCCTCCAGGCTATCTCGACCCGTACGGCCATAACCTCCGCCACCCCATGGTTTCAGGTTACGGCGTCCCCCCTCTGTCTCCAGGTTACCCCATCAGTGGCACTCTGCCCACCATTCGACCTGTTGTGAACCACGACCCCGTCAGAGGAATGCGAAGCGCAGTTCTCGAAGAGTTTCGCTCAAACAGCAAGACGAGTAAAAAGTACGAGCTCAAGGATCTCTACAATTATGTGGTCGAGTTCAGCGGCGACCAACACGGCTCGCGGTTCATTCAGCAGAAGTTGGAGACGGCCAACAGTGACGAGAAGGACCAGGTCTTCCGGGAGATCGAGCCCAACGCTATCCAGCTCATGAAGGATGTCTTCGGAAACTATGTTGTTCAAAAGTTTTTTGAACATGGCAATCAAGTGCAGAAGAGGATTCTTGCCGAGAAGATGAGGGGCAAGATGGTCGATCTCTCGGTCCAGGTCTACGCATGCCGTGTTGTGCAGAAGGTAAGTCTATTCGCAGCCCTGTCACCCACGATAGACAAGTCTTTGTTCGGATACTAATATACTACTAATTTCTAGGCATTGGAGCATGTTCTGGTGGAGCAGCAAGCTGAATTGACAAAGGAACTTGCGGCTGATGTGTACAAGGTCATTACTGATCAGAATGGAAATCACGTCATCCAGAAGGTCATTGAACTAGTCCCACGACAATACCTGGACTTCATCATGAACGCTCTCCGTGGCCAAGTAACAACCCTGTCTACGCATCAATATGGCTGCCGCGTTGTTCAGAGGATGATGGAATACGGCACTGAGGCCGACAAGGCCGCCATCGTGAGAGAACTACACCCCTCGGCGCACATCCTTCTCACAGACCAATTCGGAAACTATGTGGCGCAGCATGTTATCCGCAAGGGAAAGCCAGAGGATCGTGAAAAGATGATCCGACTTGTCATGGGTCAGCTCATCGAGCTATGCAAGCACAAGTTCGCTTCCAACGTTGTCGAGACATGCATTGAGGCAGGCTCCCCTGCTCTAGTCACCGAAATCCGAGAGAGGTTTGTCACGCCAGGCGAGGACGGCACCAGCCCGCTCCCGCAATTGATGCGAGACAACTACGGGAATTATGTGATTCGTAAGTCGCCTAGGGTTCCCTGTCCACCTCGATCTGTTCTCAATGCTAACTAATGTGTGCAGAAAAGCTGTTTGCGACATTGAAGGGCCCCGAGCTGGATTCATTTGCAGACGAGATCAAACCCTTGTTCTATCTCCAGAAGAAGAACGGCAACTCCCGCCAGCTGACAGCTCTGGAAAAGCTACTTGACGAGTATGCTTTGAACACGGCCAAGGGCGACCGACCAGCCCAATCCGACGATGCATCATCTGCCGCGCCAACCCCTGCATCGACCAACGAGGCCAACAGTGTCAATAGCGACAGCCCCCTCACCAGTGTTGGCACAGCCGATGCCTCGGCCCCGGTTACAGTGGACCAGGCTCAGGACGACAACGTTAACGCGTCGTCGGCCGCGCAAGAGACACAGGCCGAGTCCTAAAATGGACAATCCTTGCTATTTCTATACGAATCGACAGCGGTTTTGACCGCACGCATGACTTATCTCGAGAACACCTTGCCGACCACCAATCGGCAGACTTCATCTGGCTATTTTTGGTACTTTATTGTACACACTCTCATAATATACTGGACTCAGTGAACGCCCAAGGACAGGCAGTCTTCCCACTTCCTCACCATGGATAAACGAACTCTTTTTCTTCTGTTATCATCTTATTTTTTTCTCGACATGGATTACATTCCAGATACGGACATAGGTTATCAAACAAGGGCGACATGGCGGTAAACGTGAGGTCGCAAACTCTTTCTGCTCCCTGCCACGTGCAGGGTTGAATTATTCTACCACGACATAAACCAAAGAAAGCGGGTTGAGGGTGCTCAAGCTTCTGCAGCAGCGAGCCGTACCCGACCAGCTTGCCCATTTATTGCACAGCAATGCAATAGCTGTGGCTAATATAATTTATACAGTGGCACCTGGCGAGTTTACGGTTTTGGGTTTTTTTTGGCATGACGAGCTTATTTTATTTCATACTTTCAAACAGGGCAATGGATCCTGGCTGGCTGGTTACAGGGAACGGATCGGAAAACACAGTACTACAACGAATGGATGATAGGCATCTGGCCATAGGACATGCAAGGTATACCGGTATGGAACGGCTAGGGGTCGGAATCGTCCATAGAGTATTATTATTTTAAAAGCGATAATGAGGCACTGCATCGGAATACGGGCTCAAATCTGTGACTTGGACTAAGTGACCCAGCTTGGGGCAATCGTAGACACAGCGGGTGTAACATGATATCCAGTTTCTGTCTCTACCTATGCTCAGGAAATGAGCTTCAGGGTAGTCTTGAGGTCTGGTGAAACCGTTACTTGGGCGACAGAGATGTGCTTGCGGCACTGCCTGTTCCTGGTGCGAATCTTATCGTAACTCCCCGGCGATCGATATGACGCCACGTGGTGGGGAACCGACCAACCGAAAGGCTGAAGCCACAGCTAAAATGGTTCCAGACGTCTAACCTCGCACACACCTTCATCTACAGCTACATACGCATTCCAACATTCACGGCACGGCCTTCTCCCTCGACCCCATTGATACGTTGCAGCAACGAAAGAAGGAAGGCAGGCAGGCAGGAAAGGAAAGGGAGAGCGGCTACATCTATGTCAGGGTCCCTCTGCTAGGTTCGGCGCTGCCAGCCCTTCCCCCCCCCCCTCTCGACATTCCTCCCCTTCTCCTCCTAGGGGCGAGCTATACCACCGACACGAGAAACAAGAGCGAGACGACGATGGCGCCGGCAAGTCGGAGGGCGAGCTCCCTCCTCGGCTGCGTCCCCTCCCCCCGCGTGCGACCCCGGCGCGGATTCGGATGTGCCTCGCGCCTGCAGCAGGCCGCCGCGAGCTCGAGGCGGGGGCTGGTGACGGCCGTGACGGTCTACTCGGGGGACCAGGGCTTGAGGTGGAAGAGCTCGTTTGCGCCGCGGCACGGCAAGGCGATTGAGCCGGAGGTGGGCGAGGCGGCGGAGGCGCTGCTCCCGACGGCGGTTGAGCAGCAGGCGGTGCAGAGCAAGAGCATCGTGAAGATGGAGGGCTTGGAGCAAGGGGCCACGTCCGACGAGGCTGAGATTGGGGAGGGAGCCAGCGGGGAGGAGGCACACGCGTCGGCAGGCGAGGAAGCGAGTAGCTCGGGGGACGGGCAGACATCGAGCGGCAGCGGCGAGCAGACGAGCGCGGCTGGGAGTGAGGGGATGAGTAGGGGCCCGCTGGAGGCGGTGCTCAAGTTTGAGGAGCTGGAGAAGACGGCGAAGCAGCCTCCGGCCATGTCGCCGCCACGGTACGTGCACCACTTCGACACCTTCTCTCTCGTCAAGCACCTCCACGAGGGGGGGTACACGCAGCCCCAGGCTATCGAATCTATGAAGGGGATTAGGAAATTGCTGGCGCAGAACCTGAGCGTGGCGCAGGAGAGTCTTGTGAGCAAGAGTGATGTGGAGAATGTGAGTCTGGCTATGTGCCTCGGTCACCACCCCTCCGTTGCGGGTGGTAGCTCGTAAAGGGCGCGTTGAGAATGTAACTAATAAGTTTCATATGGCAGGAGTCCTACCTCTTCAGGGCAGCATGTTCTGAGCTGGGACAGGAGATCAAGAATAACCGGAGACTACAAGATGAACAGGTTCGGCAGCAGAGGACGCACCTCCAGCATGAGGTGGACATTCTGCAGCAGTCGCTCAACCAAGAGGTGTCGACGCTAAATGACAATATCCGCGGCATGTTCAATGACCGGAAGATGGCAGTGCGGGCAGAACAGACGAACGCAGAGGGCGCGGTATGTGCTTCTTCACCTTGATGTTTGACCTCTCAAGATCATGTTTACTGACAGGAGTCCCCCCTCACATCAGATCCAACAAATAAACTACAAGATCAGCACAAGCCTGGTCAGTGACATGAAGTCGGAGATCGAGGGAGTGCGGTGGATTCTCATCCGCCGTTCAGCGACAGGAATCTTCTTCATGGCGATGGTAACACTCTTTGCGATCCGCTACGCTACTTATTTGCACAGCGAGACGCAGAAGGAGAAACAACGCCGCAAGAAGGAGGAAAGGGATCGCAGGGATCGCGGCCAGACGGACAGTAGTCGGGCCGCAGATGCAGCTGCGATACTGGCTGCGAACTAGCCGTACCGCGAGATGGACGGTGCGATGATGACAAGCAGGGCGTGGAGCAAGCATGCGAGAGGCGGATGACATGACACGACATGGGATTTGATACCCTCCAAACAATTTTTTCATATGTTACAATGCATACATAGACTTGGACTATAGATTTCATTTTCTCATAGACGACTTAGGAAAACGGCTACTGAATCGGATTCATTTATCATACACGATATACTTGTCCCTCTCTTTCCCAGGATCGCGTCTTCGATCATATTCAGTGGTAAATCCAAGTGACCAAATTTCCATGGCTGAAATACTAGGCTGGTGGTTATTTGTACTTACTCACCTTCGGAGACATTAATCCCTAGGTACTAAGGTAGGTATGTACCGAGATAGGACTCAGGTGATGTTGGTTGTTACCCTACACTGACATTTGCATGCCAGACACCAAAGCCATCAGTGTGGGAATAAGCAAAAGAGAGTAATTTAAAAAGAAACTCGTCTCCAGATCCTGTGCTTCCAGTCACCTCGTCACCCATCTCCCGCAAAGCCACGTTTTCTCTGCCCCATCCAAGGTCGACCTAGCCTTGCACACCCGTCAGCCAAGCCGAGCCAAGGCCTGCCCTTCACGCCCTCCCCTCACTCCCCCCTCCAGGAGATGAAGATGCACCCCGCGTCACGTGCAAACGCGGAACCCCACTACGCGTCTTCCGACAACTCTCTGTCCCAACGTCACGGTTGAAAATCGCCCGACGTCAACGCAGGTTTGGGGCTTCACACAGCAACTCCCCTCCGTCCTCAACCCAGATGCCGCTCCCGCCATGAGCGCCGAGCAACCAGACACAGAAATGGCCCCGGCGCCCCCGCCCGAGACGGAGCCCGGCCGCGACGAGGCGACGCCCGCGCCAGCAGCAGACGAAGACGTCGCCCCGGGCCCGCGCGCGACGCGCCTCCGAGCCCTCTACGGCCAGGCGCTGCAGCACACCCTGGGCAAGCTGGCGTGGGAGAACTTCGCCGCCTGCTACCCGACCATCTCGAGCCGGTCCGAGGGGGTGCTGCGCCAGGTGCAGGGCCAGATGGTCGGGAAGCTGGGGGAGAAGTGCCAGGTCAGTCGCCGTCGCCCACTCACTTTCGCCTTCTTGAACCGGGAAGCTGACAATGGGGTATGGGTATGCTTTTGTAGAAAGAGTTCGACAACATCATAGTGTCCAGACAGGTCGTCCCGAAGCTCAACGAGCTCGAGTCCCTCATCGCCGACGCCTCGAAGCGGCGCGCGGAATCGGACGATTCCGTCCCTGATCCCACACCGTCCGTGATTCCCACTCCTTGCTTGTTGGATTTTTTTCTTTTAAATGTAAAACTGACACGCCTTTTCGCAGACCACACCTCCTCCCGCCCGACCGCATCCTCTCCGCGCACCTCACGCCGGCCCTCATCTCCCACCAGTCCCAGCTCAACGCGCGGCTCCAGACGACCCAGTCCCAGAACGCGCTGCTGCACGAGGAGATCCTGCGGCAGCAGGCCGAGGTGGAGGAGCTCATGGGCCAGCTCGACGCTCTCGTCGCCGACGTCAAGGGTGCCAATGGCGCCCTCTCTGAGGTGGCCGACCAGCTCGCCGCCGAGTCCCGTGAGGCCGAGGCCGCCATTTCTGGGACCAAGAACGCCGCTGACAGTTGAGTTGATCTGGCACCGTTCGACGAAACAAAACCCATTTTTTGCATCCTGTCGGGATTATTTGCATGCAGGGGCTTGCACGGGCCCAGAGAGGGACGAGATATTCTTAGCTGTAATGGCGTCGAAGAAGCCCCACTGGCATGGGAACAGGACTTCAAGACCCAATTAATGCGATTTATTTCATGATTAAGGAATTACACATGTGCGAGATTTTGGTTAGGTTCAGGGGTGTCTGGAGTTGCTAAATATATTGATACCATCTTGTTTTATTTTAATTCATTCCATGAGATACGGGCCGTAAAAAAAAGAAGTTTACTGATGTTTGTTCTCTTGTTTGTTTCATTGCTTGAGGTCCAGTATCCTAAACTCATCCCCTCAAAGGGTGCTATATTCGTAAACCTGAGTGAACATTTCCTAAATGCCCATTGCAGGATTCCCTCAACCTGCCATGATATCGGCAGGCGAGATGTATATGCGTATGTAAAACCATGAAACTCCGCCCAATGACAAATGATAAGCTGCTCCAAAGCCGCCCCCCAGTTTATGCTGAATCCCCTTACCCAAAACATGCGCCGGAAATGCCGTAAGACCTTGCGTGGCCGTCTAGGCCATGACTTTAGCCCCCTCCCCCCAGAGCCCTGAGGTGGGCTCAAACTAGGATGTTGAGTTGAGAAACTCGAATATGTGGGTAATCTCTAGTAGATGGTACAGTTGAACGAAGTGTTTCTTCCGTCGTAGCCAGACTTGCGTACTGGCAGGTAATGATTTCCCTTTGGCCAAGATTCCATCCCCTGAAAGTGACGAGAGCCAAGACCAAGTGATCGGCCGACTCCCCACAACCAGAACAACGGTATCAGATGCGAATATTTTCCGTATGAATGACTTGCCAAGGGCCGAAGTAATCCACCTCTCCGTATGCCGGTGGTAGAACCCGCACCATCCGACCAGTCGACCAGTCAACGAACCATTTCTTTCCTTTGTGGATGATGTAATTGGACTTTCGAGGACTTCTAAAAAGGAGAGTGCTGTAACAGAGTTTGGCGTAGAGCATATCGTGTGCGCTTGTCCACTGATGATCTGGCACCCACTTGCCGGAGTGAGGGTCAATACCAGCGTTATCATATGACGTTGTACTCAACCGGTGAGTAGGATCTAATCGTGGTGGGTGACATGTGCCTCGCTCCCCGTCTTCACTATCGCTGGAATCATCAAATACAGGTATCGACCTTGAGAGCTCTTCGTTTCCCCCCTCATCCTCTTCCTCGGTAGGCCTGCTTGCTGGCTGGGCTAGGGCGTCCATTTGATTTAGGTTCGCGGCTAAATCTGGGGTCGAGGAGCTCCTCCGAACACTGGGAGCCGACACCTCACCCGAGTTTTGCTCTGGGTCATGAGGTGCATCCTGAACTGCAATCCCAGGGCCATCAGGAGATTGACCACGAAACCACCGAACTCGTTGAATTCTGGGAACCGACATGTCCCGAGGGAAGTCTCGATCATCGATTGGAAGAGCAACGTCAATGGCGGCGAACAACCCTTCCATCCACCTATTAAATGTGCTTAGTTCGATGCATGAGAGCAAGAACTGGTCAGTCTCTGCTCGAATACGAATCACATATCTTCGTCTGTAGTGAATTTTCCGGTTAGTACATGTTTTCCGGCAAACACCTCCCGCATTGATATGAATTCCCTGGCGAGGATTCAGAATCGACTCACTTCTTGTAGTCTGCAGCAATACCAGCGTCGGCGTATAGCAAACTATAGCTCTTTTCAAGTTTTGATTTTGTCATCCAGGGGGGATTGTCGGGGCTGATTTGAGGCCCGTCTCGAGTCTTTCCCCAGGTTCGAGATTTCTTGGATTTGTAAATGTTGAGGGCGGTTCCAGTAAGAGTAACATAAGACGTATGCCAGCGGCGGTCTTCGGCCCTCTTGTTGGTGCCTTCGATTTCATGCTTCTTCATGAAAATTCCTTCAAGCTCGATGGAGCTTGAATAGCTCGGCAGTCTTTCTTCCCCATGCCCAGCATCGCTAATCCCGGCAGGACTGCCCCGGCGAGACCCCTCGATCCCATTGCTTTGGTCAACAATTGCAAGAGGTGCTGCTTGAGTTGATGTTGACGCTTGATAAGGTGGTGGTCGTGAAGGCCGTGTGGGGTCCGTTGTCATAATATGCTGGTAGAAGTAGTCCTCATCGATGGACAGGCGACGGCGAAGAGTCGCCGGTGGCGATCTGGGAAGCGTTGGTGGTCCATGAGGAAGGACGTCCGCATCAGCGCGAGGGTCCATGAGGGAGACCCTATTTGATATGCTCTCCTACTCATGCAAACGTCCAGACAGATGAAATGAGGGTGGTGGTGGGCAGCTCTTGGCTTCCGGGCGAACCGGTATATATAAGTGAAGTTTGAGGCGTCCAGAAGGTGGCAGATGATCTAACAAGGACAAAGGTATGGGCGCGGCGGTAGAAAAGGACGTCCAGGTCGCGGAGGCGAGGAATGGTGGTGTTAGCATTGACACACGATACGCGACGAAGCCTCGCACACTTTAGTCTCCGCCGTTGGAGTCAGGCTGAAGGTGCTACTCATAGCGACTGGCTCAACGGCATCGTTTCAGGGCCAAAGGGGAAAACGAAGGTAGAGGATGGGATTTCTGGAGTCGAGAGAGGAAGGCCCAGGTTTAAAGATCAATCCGATGGGGAAGGGCCCCGGCAGTGGGCGCAAAGTGCCTTAAGACCACTACAGGCGCACGATGGGGTGGTTGCTTCGCTGTAATGTGGGCAGTCCCGATGAGATCCGAGGCGAGGTGCAGTGGCGGGGGGTGTATGGGGAGTGTATGGACAGTAATGTTTCAGTCGCTCTGGGAGCAGGGACCGTTTGTCAAGACGTTGCGGCAGCTAATAATGGGGACGGGTGGAGAGAGTGAGAGCGCAGGACGAGGTGGGTGTGGACAGAGAAAAAAAGCAGCGCAGCGGTCCAAGGAGCTGCCGTGCAGAAAGGGTATGAGCAGGTGTGCTTGCGTGCCTTGTGTAGGGCGTCGTGTTTGGCTGGTGTTATACGATCGGCACACAAGAGCCGCCGGTTGGCAAGGAGTCTCAAAAGGGCACGGCCAAGACGAGTTAGGAAGCCGCGTGAAATTCCAGTGAGCGTGCGACTGATGAGGGGCGTCATACAACAAGGAGCCCGTAGTGAGGAGCATGAGCATGCGCAAATCAGCAATGGACCGGGGTCGGGGCCGCTGGAGATGCCGGTGGGAGAGGAGTTGGGGATGCGAGTCGACGAAAAATGGCAGCGGCGGAGCGTGAGTTGGCTGTGCTATGTGGTGTTGCGCTGCGCTGCGCTGCGCTGGTGCTGG